AAATGAATCCAGCAGGGAAAAAAAAGCAGGAAAATTGGGAAAATTGGTGATTATTGACTCCATAAAGATAAAAAACCCCTCTGGAAGTTGTTATTCCCAAGAATTCCCAACTTTTCCCCACAGAAAAAAACAATCCCGATTTGGAGGATCCCAATCCAGCTTCCAGGGGGAAAAGCCTGGAAAATGAATCAAGCAATGAAAAAAAAAAACAGGAAAAATCCGGATGGGAAGCAGCAAAACCAGGTTTTGTGTGGGAAAAAAATGGGATTTTTCCAGGCTGGAGTCTCCTCCCCTCCCTGAGGGAATCCCAGCTTGGATTTGTTTTTTTTCCCCAAGGTTTTGTTTTTCCAAGGCTCCGGGAAAAGCCAAAAAAACGATGGAAAAATTCCTCAAGGTGTCTCCTGTGTGGGCCCTGCCGGGGTTTTTGGGGTTTGTTGTTTTTTTGGGAGAAGGGAATTTCTTTTCCAAGCCAAAGAACGGGGGTGGGAATGTCTGGAGCTGTAATTCCGTAATTAAGTCGGAGCGAAAACGAGTCCGGGCGGTTCCCGGCTCCTTTTCCCTGGGGCGCTTGGATAAAAAATAAATCCAAAAAAAATAAAATCAAAAATAAAATATTTGGGAGAATTTGCGATGTTCTGGGTTAATCCCAACCTTTTTCATTCCCGTTGGGGTGGGGTTGGGATATAAAACCTGGAATTAAGGGATTTTCTCCAGGATTTTCCACCCCCTTCCCAAATTTTTGGGGTGGAAAAAGGAGAATATTCCTCAAAATGGCACCGGAAAAGGAGCTGGGGAGAGCTGGAAATTACAGGAAAGGATTTTTTTCCTAAAAAAAAAGCTGAAATTTGGGATTTTCAGCCAGTCAGGACAGCTTGGGGATTTCCCAGGATTTTGCTGGAATTTTTGGGATCTCCTGAGCAGGGCCTGGAGTCGGAATTCCCTTTTCCAGCTCAGGATATTCCATAATTTCTGCTTTAAACGCGAGGAAACCTCGGCAGATTGGGAAGTTTCACGTTCTTATCCCTGAAAACAGGTGGGAAAAGGCGGAATTCCAAAGGGAAAAGGCAAAATTCCAAAAGGAAAGGCAGAATTCCAAAGGGAAAAGGCAAAATTCCAAAGGGAGTTCCCCTGGAGCCAGGCCCGGCTCCTCAAAATTGAGATTTTTGTGGAGAAAAGTTGGGAATTTTTGGGAATAACGACTTCCAAAAGGGTTTTCTATCTTTACAGATTCATTAATCACCATTTTTCCCACTTTTCCTGCTTTTTTCCATGTTTTTTCCCTGCTGGATTCATTTTCCAGGCTTTCCCCTGGAGCAGCTCAGGCCAGGCCCGGCTCCTCAAAATTGAGACTTTTATGTGGAGAAAAGTTGGGAATTTTTGGGAATATCGACTTCCAGAGGGAAATTTTATCTTTATGGATTAAACAGTATCTGATTTTCCCAATTTTCCTGCTTTTTTTCCATGTTTTTTCCCTGCTGGATTCATTTTCCAGGCTTTCCCCTGGAGCAGCTCGGGCCAGGCCCGGCTCCTCAAAATTGAGATTTTTATGTGGAGAAAAGTTGGGAATTTTTGGGAATAACAACTTCCAGAGGGAAATTTTATCTTTATGGATTAAACAATATCTGATTTTCCCAATTTTCCTGCTTTTTTTCCATGTTTTTTCCCGGCTGGATTCATTTTCCAGGCTTTTCTCTGGAGCAGCTCGGCCCAGGCCCGGCTCCTCAAAACTGAGATTTTTATGTGGAGAAAAGTTGGGAATTTTTGGGAATAACAACTTCCAGAGGGAACTTTTATCTTTATGGATTAAACAATGACCAATTTTCCCAATTTTCCTGCTTTTATTCCATGTTTTTTCCCTTCTGGATTCATTTTCCAAGCTTTTCTCTGGCGCAGCTCGGCCCAGGCCCGGCTCCTCAAAATTGAGATTTTTATGTGGAGAAAAGTTGGGAATTTTTGGGAATATCGACTTCCAGAGGGTTTTCCTATTTCCATGGATTCATTTTCCCACCTTGCCTGGCTCAGGACCATCCTCAGCTGGAATTTGCCTTTTAGGGGCCTAAATTCCATCAAAAATCCCCTTTTTCCCAGAAACCGCTGCTGACTCTGGGATAAACCTGACAAATCCATAAAAAAACCCAACATTTATGCCCCATTCCCAAACTTTTCCTCATTATTTCGTCTCCACTGTGGGAAAAAATCGGGATTTTTAACCAAAACCCACAGAATTCCCATTCCCTCCGAGCATATCCAAACTCCTCACAACACCAGGGGCAGAAATGGGTTAAAAAAATCCAATTTTTCCTTGAAAACGAGCGGGAAAAAGAGGAAAAAACAAAGAAAATCCGAGGATTTTTCATCCCAACCACCTTTAAAAGGCCTCATAACCTCACCTGAGCCGCTCCTGGATTGCATCCCGAGGTTGATCCTCTTAAATCCCAAAAATCCCCAGGGTAAAAATAAATCCTGATCCCACATCCCACACGTTTTTTATAATTTTTTTTTCCCCCAAAAGTCCCAGAATTCCCAAAAATTCCAGAATTCCCGGAATTCCCGGTGCTCACCGTTGGGCCGGATGTTGATGAAGGGATAATTTGGCATCACCAATTTGTTGAAATTGAATTTGTAGGTGAATCTTTTGCCCTTGGTCTTGTGCAGGATCCTCTTGTTGTAGTAATATCTGGGAATTTAAATTCAAATTAAATTAAATCAATTAAAAAAAAAAATAATAAAATTAATAAATAAAATAATAAATAATTAAGTCAATTAAATAGGTAAATTTAATAAATTAAATTTAAATTTTAAAGGGGAAAAAAAAGGGAAAAATTACGGTTCAAAAATCCGCAATTCTTTCCTAATTCCCGAAGGATTCGTTCCTAAAATCCTGTTGAAACCAAAATGTGGAATTTTGGAGTGGTTTGGAGCTTAAATTTCCTTAAAAGTTCAGGTTTTTTTCCTAATTACAAAGAATTCCAAAGGGAAAAAGCAAAATTCCAATAGGAAATTTGCAATTCCCAAAGAATTCATTCCTAAAATGAAAAAAAAATAATTTAAAACCACCAAAAACCTGCAAAAAATCCCTAAAAAAAAAAGGAAAAAAAACCCCAAATTGCCACCAAAAAATCGCCAAAAAACCCTAAAAAAACCCCCAAAAAAATCCTTAAAAAATGAGAAAAAACCTCTAAAAATAACAACAAAAAAACCCAAATTAGCCACAAAAATTTTGATAAAAATCTCAAAAAATTCTGAGAAAAATCCCAAAAAAATCTGAAAAAAATCCTGAAAAATCCCCAAAAAATCCCCAAAAATTCTGAAAAAAATCTGAAAAAAATCCCCAAAAAATCCTAAAAAATTCCCAAAAAATTCCCAATATTTTTTCCAGAATTCCCACTGACCTGAGGGCTCGGCTGAGCTTGTCATAATTCATCTGGGGCTTGCACTTGCATCTCCCCCAGAGCTGAGCAACCTCGTTGGGGTCCTTGATGATGAACTCCCCAGATTACAGACCCCTAAAAACCCCTAAAAAAACCCCAAAAAACTGAGGAAAAAACCTCCAAACTGCCCCCCAAAAATCACAAAAAAACCTCCCTGAAAATCCCCAAAATTCTGATAAAAATCCCGAAAAATTCAGAAAAAAATCCCGAAAAAATCTGAAAAAAATCCTGAAAAATCCCAAAAAAATCCCCAAAAATTCTGAAAAAAATCCCTAAAAATTCTGGAAAAAAATCTGAAAAAATCCCAAAAATTCCGAAAAAAAATCCCTAAAAAATATGAAAAAAATCCTGAAAAATTCTGAAAAAAATCCCCAAAAAATCCTAAAAAATTCCAAAAAAATCCACAAAAAATCTGAAAAAATTCCCAAAAAAATCCTAGAAAATTCCAAAAAAATTCCAAGAAAATTCCCAATTTTTTTTCCCTGATCCCTGCTCACCTGAGGGCTCGGCTGAGCTTGTCATAATTCATCTGGGGCTTGCACTTGCGTCTCCCCCAGAGGCGAGCGACCTCGTCGGGGTCCTTGATGACGAACTCCCCGTATTCCCCCTGCTGCCAGGCGATGACGTGCCGGAATTCCTCCTTCTGGAGCAGCTCCAGGATGAAATGCCACAGCTGGATCTGCCGAGAGCCGGGGCTCGACTCCGTCTTGTACGCCCACTCTGGGAAATGGTAGCCTTGGGGTGGGGGAAATGGGGAAAAACGGGGAGGGAACGGGGGAAAATGGGAAAAAATGGGGAGGAAATGGGAAAAAATGGGGAGGAAATGGGAAAAAATGGGAAAAAATGGGGAGGAAATGGGAAAAAATGGGGAGGAAACGGGAAAAAATGGGAAAAAATGGGGAGGAAATGGGAAAAAAAGGGGAGGAAATGGGAAAAAATGGGGAGGGAATGGGAAAAAATGGGAAAAATTGGGAGAAAATGGGAAAAAACAGGGAGGAAATGGGGAAAAACGGGGAGGGAATGGGAGAAAATGGGGAGAAATGGGAAAAAATGGGGAGGGAATGGGAAAAAAAGAGGAGGAAATGGGAAAAAATGGGGAGGGAATAGGAAAAAATGGGAAAAAATGGGAGAAAATGGGAAAAAACAGGGAGGAAATGGGAGAAAATGGGGAGAAATGGGAAAAAATGGGAAAAAATGGGAGAAAATGGGAAAAACGGGGAGGAAATAGGGAAAAAATGGGAGAAAATGGGAAAAAATGGGGAGGGAATGGGAAAAAATGGGGAGGAAACGGGAAAAAATGGGAAAAAATGGGGAAAAAATGGGAAAAAATGGGGAGAAATGGGAAAAAATGGGAAAAAATGGGAAAAAATGGGAAGAAAACAGAGAAAATAGGAAAAAATGGGAAAAAACAGGGAGAAAACGGGGAGAAAATGGGGAAAAACGGGAAGAAACAGGGAGAAAATGGGGAGAAAATGGGAAAAAACGGGGAGAAAATGGGGAAAACGGGAAGAAACAGGGAGAAAATGGGAAAAAATGGGAAAAAATGGGGAGGAAATGGGAAAAAATGGGACAAAATGAGGAGAAAACGGGACAAAATGGGGAGAAAATGGGAAAAAAATGAGAAAAAATGGGGAGAAAATGGGAAAAACGGGGGGGAAATGGGAAAAAAACAGGGAGAAAATGGGAAAAAATGAGGAGAAAATGGGAAAAAAATGGAATTATTTTGGGAATATTGAGTGGGGTTTGGGTGGGAGGTGGAATTCTGTAAAATGTTCCATGTGGGAACGGGGAAATCCAGGATTCCCGTTCATTTCTGATCCTTTTTTCCATGGAAAATCCATCCAGAAGATATAAAAATCAACTAAAATTGATTAAAAATCATCAAATTTGGGTGGAATTCAATATTCCATGTGGGAAAATCCAGGATTTCCTCCATTTCTGATCCTTTCCAGCCCCGTTTTCCTTGGAAAATCCATTCAAAAACACCAAAAACCCCCCAAAAAAACCAGAAAAAATTGGAATTCCATTGAATATTCCAGTCAAAATTCCAGGGATGGAATTGAGACAAAAAAAACCATAAAAAAATCAGAATTTTGGGTGTTTTTTAATATTATTTTTTGGGATTCCTGCCAGGAAAGAAATTCCAGGAGGGAATAATCCCAAATTCATCCCAAATTCATCCCAAATTCATCCCAAATTCATCTCTGGGGACAAAAAAATTGAATTTTAAACCCAGCACTTCCCCCATTGGGGTTTTTTTTTTTCCTACCAGGGGAAATTTTGGGAGAAATATTCCCAGAAAATATTTTTATCCTGGAATAAAAAAAAAAGATTTTAAAAATAAAAAATAAATAATTTGGGAATTTCTTACCCCCTCCTCCTTCGGGCTTGTCCACGATGCTGCAGCCGGCTTTCATTTTCTGCCTCCTGAAATGGGGAAAAAATGGGAATTTTTGGGGAAAAAATGGGAATTTTTGGGGAAAAAAAGGGAAATTTCCCTGCCTGGAATTGCAGGAAGGAGACAAAACAAACCCAGCTCAGTTCCCAGACGGGATCGGCTGCCAAAATCCACAGCTGGAGAGAGCCCAGATGTGCCAGGGAGGAGGGGAGGGGAAAATGGGGGGAAAAAGGGGGAAAAAGGGGAAAAAAGGGGGAGAATGGAGGGGAAAAATGGGGGGAAAAGGGGAGAAAAAATAGGGGAAAATGGGGAAAAATGGGGGGAAAAAAGAGGGAATAAAGGGGGGGATGAAGATGGGAAAAGGGGG